GGGGGGGGGGAGGGGAGGGGGGCGGGGTGGCGATGGCGCCGGTGGGACCGGTGGGGCTGGCAATGATGGGGCTGCTGGTACCGGTGGGGCTGGTTCCGGTAGGGCTGGCGATGATGGGGCTGTCAATGATGGGGCCGGTGGTACCGATGGGGTTGGTTCCAGGAGGGCTGGCAATGATGGGGCTGATGGTACTGGTTCCGGTGGTGCTGTCGGTGATGGGTCCGGTGGTACCAGTGGGGCTGGTTCTGGTAGGGCTGTCAATGATGGGTTCAGTGGTACCAGTGGGACTGTCTGTGATGGGTCCGGAGGTACCAGTGGGGCTGGCAATGATGGGGCTGATGGCACTGGCTCCGGTGGTGCTGTGAATGATGGGGCTGGTGGTACCAATAGGGCTGGTTCTGGTAGGGCTGTCCGTGATGGACCCGATGGTACCGGTGGTGTTGGTGCTGCTGTCAATGACGGGTCTGGTGGTTCCGGTAGGGCTGTCCGTGACGGTGCTGCCAATGATGGGTCGGGCGGTACCGGCGGTGCTGGTGGTGCTGGTGTGGGTGCTACCAGTGCCGGTCGTGCTGTCAATGGTGGGACTGGTGGTGCCAGTGGTACCGGCGGTACTGGTGCTGGCAGTGCTGTGGATGATGGGATCGGTGGTACTGGTACCGGTGGTACTGGTGGTACCGGTGGCGATGGGAGCACCAGTGCCGATGGTACCGGTGGTGGTGGCACCAGTTGCACTGATGGTACTGGCAATGGTGGTACCGGTGGTTCTGGTGACGGTACCAGAGCTGCTACTGCTGGTACAGGCGGCACCGGCAGTGATGGGAGTGCCGGTACTGGTGGTACTGGCGGTGACGGCGCTTCCGGTACCGGTGATGAGGTACACCGGCAGTGGTGGTACCGGCGATGGCTGTGGTACCGGCAATGGCTGCGGTGGTACCGGAGGTGGTTGTGGTGGTACCAGCGGTCCTCCCTTACTGGTGGCACTGGGGCGCTGGTACTCCCGGTACTGGTGTCGGCGGTACCGGCGGTGGATCTGGTGGTGCCAGCAGCGCTACCAGCGGCGGTTCCGATGGTACCGGCGGCGCTGTTACCAGTGGTGCTGGCTGTGGCTGTGGCGGTGCCAATGGTGGCTGTGGCGGTGCCAATGGTGGCTGTGGCGGTACCGGTGTCGGTAGCGGTGCTGGCGGTACCGGTGTCGGTGGCACTGCGCTATGAGGGCGCTGTGGGGTTCCCAGGAGGTGACGCAGGGACAGCGGTGACTGCGGTGGAGCTGAAGGGAAAAG